CTCTCTCTCTCTCTCTCTCTCTCTCTCTCTCTTTGTGACACAAACACACACACGCGCGCGCTGGAAGATTCAACCCCATTTTGCTAATGAATCTTCAGCCAGAACATGGAAATATACTGGTCTCATGGTACTTCCCCGATGAGCAAAATTGAATGAATCTACGGCTAGAACGTGGTTGATTTGATTGATTGAAAAACAAAAACAAAAAAGGAGAATGGGGCGGTCTTTTTTTTTTTTTTTGAGATCGATCAATCAATCAATCAATCAATCAATCAATCAATCAATGTCCACCTTCCCTCCCCCCCTCCCTCCTTTGAACTCTTACGTTCCTTCTCCCGCTCCTCCTCCGGCGCTTCCTCCGCCCGTTCCCGTTTCCCCTTGCGCTCATCCCGCTCCTAGCCGCCTCCCCGTTTTCCCTGCCGCTCCTCCTCCCACTCCTCCTCCCGCTCCTCCACCCAAACCTCCTCCGCCCCTTCCCGTTTCCCCTTGCACTCCTCCCGCTCCTCCCACACCTCCTCCCGTCCCTTCTCCCACTCCTCCTGCCACTCCTCCGCCAAACAACGTGACAAAGATCCCGCCATAGCCCCGCTCCCGCTCCTTCTCCCGCTCCTCCTCCCTCTCCTTCTCCCTCTCCTCCCTCTCCTCTCGCTCCCCCTCTTGCTGCTCCTCCCACTCCTGCTCCTCCCGCTGCTTCTCCTGCTCCTCCCCCCGTTGCTCCTCCCCCTCCTTCTTCCGCTCCTCTTCCTCGGCCATAGCTCCTTCCCCGCTCCTTCTCCCACTCCTCCTCCTGCTCCTTCTCCCGCTCCTCCCAGTCCTCCTCCTCCTCCTCCCCCTCCCGCTCCTGCTCCGCCAAACAATGTGACAAAGATCCCGCCACAGCCCCGCTCCGGCTCCTTCTCCTGCTCCTCCTCCCTCTCCTCCTCCATCTCCTTCTCTCGCTCCCCCTCGTGCTGCTCCCTTGCTGCTTCTCCTATTCTTTCCCCGGTTCCTCCTCCCGCTCCTTCCCCCGCTCCTCCTTGCGCTCCTCCTCGCACTCCTCCCGCTTTTCCTCCTCCACCTATATCTCCTCCCGCTCCTACGCCTCATGCGTGTCGGTTAACTCCCTCCTGCTCCTCCTCCCGGTCCTTCTACTGCCCCTCCTCCCGCCTCCTCCGCCCCTTCCCGTTTCCTCACGTGCTCCTTCTCTCGCTCTTAACCCCCTCCCCGTTTCCCCTGCCGCTCCTCCTTCTCCCGTTCCTCCTCCCACGGCTCCTCCGCCCCTTCCCGTTTCCCCTCCCGCTCCTTCTCCCGCTCCTCCTCCCGCTCCTCCTCCCACCCCTCCTTCTCCCGCTCCTCCTCCCGCTCCTCCTCCCATTCCTCCTTTTCCCGCTCCTTTTCTCACCCCTCCTCCCGCTCCTCCCGCTCCTCCTCCCGCTTAAAGCACCGACACTTTCAGCAAGCAGCCGCGCAGTCGAACCAAACAAACGATGACACAAAAGTGCCGGTGCATCTTCGACCGATTTGCATTCCCCGGGTGGCGCGACAAAAATAGTGGACGTACATCTTCGCGACGTGCGCCTGGCGAAAAAACGGGTCCGTGGACGTACATCTTCGCGACGTGCCACAACCGCTTCACATTCGCGGGGTCGCGCGCAACTGGTCCCCGACAAAACAGCGCCTGGTGGAAAAATGGGTCCGCGGCCCCAACAAAAAAAGCGCCTGCCGGGAAAATGGGTCTGCGGTCCCACACGGCGGCGCCCGGTTTCTGTTGGGCCCGTCACGCGAGACCCTCTTCTTCCTTTAGAGTATTAGAGAAATAGCGCCTGGTGGAAAAATGGGTCCGCGGCCCCAACAAAAAAAGCGCCTGCCGGGAAAATGGGTC